CCTCTTCGACCTGTTTGTTTCCTCTCCACCTATCCTCTCCTCTATCCATCTTCTATCCGCCTCCCACTCTCTCCCTATTTATTTCAGAACCCCCTTCCCTGATGAAGGGTCTAGGCCCGAAATGTCAGCATCTCTGCTCCTATGATGCTGCTTTCACCTATTCATTCAGCTTACCTTTAAGTACATTTGTGATTCACCTCAACTACTTCAGTGGCAGCAAGTTTTCACATTTTCACTATAAGATACTTCTCCTGAATTTCCGACTGGATTTATCAATGACATGCATAGCCACTCACTTTGGCCTCCCCAACTGGAAATATACATGCTAAATCTACCCTCTGGAAGTCTTAACTTTTTAAGATTTGATTTAGTTTACCTTTCAGCATTTTTTTTAAAAAAATAAAGCTCTACCCCAATACTCTTATAACACAAACCATGCAGACCACATGGTAGCCAAGTTATCGACAGGAAGTTCTCACAAATGTCTGTTTTAGCAAAGAGGATTGAAGGGAAAGAGATGGACTTCCCACCACACACACAATGACCACAACAGCCTTCTCTACTCCTGCTCTTCCCTCTAATATCCTGCCCATAACTAATCATGCACCATCTTAAGCAGGACCTCCCATACTACTGACCTCCACCACCTAGAAAGACAAATACAAAGACAATGTCACAGTAGGTGCTGTAAGAAACTATAAACAAGTCACATCCTAACTTGGAAATTTAGTATAGCTCCTTCATTGTTGCTGGGTCAAAACACACACCCTCACGGTTCTATGGATATATTTACATCAATAAACGCTGGCCTTATCCAGAGAAGGAATCATCAATATTATCCAGATACATCTTTTCGTTTCTCTAACTATACCTATTTTCAGTTTACACCATTATCACATTTTGTCATCTTCTGCTACTCCCCTACAATCTCAGAGCTAGACATATGTACATTATAAATTTGAAAAGAAACATTTTCAGCGTTATGGAGGAGGAGGAAGTAGGACAACACTGGACAGCCCTTTCAAAGAACCAACATAGATAGAAGGGTAAATGCAGTACGAAATTAGGCAACTAATTCAATTGTTATTCACAATAGATCAGAAAGGGAGATGAAAGGAAATCTCTCACTCTCAATTAGCAGTGAAGGTTAACTCCCTGTTTCTGAAAAGGTCCCAGTGGATTATAAATTGCAAGAAAGGAAGACGACAAAACTCAAGGCCACAGGCCAGTTAACACAGCATAAGAAATTGGGAAAATGCAGAAATCCATCATTAAGGAAGTAATAATGGAACATCAAGAAAATCACAAAGTCAACGTTGGGATATTATGTTTGACAATTTTATTAGCGTTCTTGAGAATGTAACAAGCATGGTAGAAAAAGGGAAACTAGTTGAGGCAGAATATTTGGATTTCCAAAAGGTATTTAATAAAGTGGCACATAAAAGATTGGACTTCACATTTTGAGCAGATTTACTAGCATGGGTACAGAGATTGGCAAATTAACAGGAAACAGAGGGTCATTTTCAACATGGCTGACTGACTAATGGAGTGTCACAAGGATCTGTGCTGGGGTCTCAATTATTTATGATCTATATTAAGTGACTTGGATGAAGGGAGTGAATGTACTGTAGCCAAATTTCTTGATGTCACAAAGATAGGTTAGAAAGCAAACGATGAAGAGAACACAATGTCTCTAAAAGTATACTGATAGATTAAGTGAGTGGGCAAATATTTGGCAACAATTTTGCGAAACATGAGCTGATCTAATTTGCTGGAAAGAAGGGAAAAGCAGAATTTTGCAGAAGTCTATGGCACAGAGGGATCTTTCAAATGGATCAATAAAGTTACAGCATGTAATTAAAAAGGGAAATTGAATGTTGGTCTTTTTTCTAAGAGTAACTGAGTATTAAAATGGGGAGAACTTGCCATTACTGTATATGACTGTACTCACAATTACTTAAAGAAGGGTATACTTCAAATGGATTCAGTTCAAAGAGACTTGTCTCAGCTGATTCCTGGGAAGTAGGAGCTGTTCTACGAGGAAAGGTTAGGCCAATACTCATTGGGGTTTAGAAGAGCAAGGAGTGAACTTATTCAAATAGGAAAGATTCCATTGGGCTTGACAGGGTAGTGGAGAGATAACAAGGTGTAGAGCTGGATGAACACAGCAGGCCAAGCAGCATCATAGGAGCAGGAAGGCTGACGTTTCGGGCCTAGACCCTTCATCAGATGCTTCCCCTCATGCAGCAGTTTACAATCAAGGGCAAAGTTTAAAAATATAGGGTCTTCCATTTAAGAGAGATGAGGAGGAATTTCATCTTAGACAGTTGTTGCTGTTTAGGATTCTCTATCCCAGAGGGCTACGGAGTCAGGGTCATCGAATTTATTCAAGATTGAGCCAAACAGATTTTTCCTCAACAAGGGGGTCAACAGATATGGGGTCAGGCAGCAAGGTGGAGTTAAAGCTATAATCAGCTTAACCTTTGATCTAACTGAATAGTGGACCAGGCTCAAGCGGCTGAATTCTGCTCCAAATTATGATCATACTCAAAACTCTGTAGGGGCTTGGCTGCAACTTCACCGCACATCATGAATATTATGCTGCTCTGTGCAGTCACTGAACACCAGTTGGAAATCCTGAACAAAGGAGTACAATGCAAAAGAAAGAGCTAGATGGTTCAGAATGAAAATCAGGAAGCACTTTTACACAAAAGGTAGCAAAAGTAACCCTACTAAATGTCAAAAGGAAGATGGTTAGATTTCAATGCTCAGAAAATGACCCTGAGCTTCCAGTTGCCTGCCATTAAAACACCATGATCCCTAGTATACATGGGCCTGCTGCAGTTCTCCAGCGAGGCTCGCTGTTCTTCCAACTTGCGCTATGTCATTTTCTGCTGGGGAACCCTGCAGCCTTCAGGACTCAATGTCAACAATTTTTCATCTGAACACCTTTCATGACTTGTACCCACCCCCACACCCTTGGCCCGGTCATGACACGGGCTGCTTTCAGCATAGCCAACCCATTTTCATCTACTTACAGTCCCTATTATTAGCTTTTCTTGCTCCCTAGCTCACTGTTATTCATTCCTTTTGTCTCCATGACTGTCGTTCTCTCTCTTGCTAGGCTCCATCTCCCTCTATCTGCATACCGCCACCAACCCACTTTTCTTCAACACATATACCACATTTTACTAACTGCTAACAGGTCTAAAGAGGGGTCAATGAACTCAAAACATTAACTCTGCTTTCTCTCCATAGATGATGCCAGACAGGTTTCTCTAGCCATTTCTTTTTATGTTTTAGATTTCTAGCAGCTGTAGTTCTTTGTTTTATTAATTTGATTATACTCTCTTTTGTTCAGGATGGTCCATGACTAGCACGTGTGGTGCAAATGTTACTTACATTTTCAGAAATTCATTATGCACATTTATCAAAAGATAAGCAGTATAAATACACATTTGCCAGGATCAAGTGAACAGTGGAGTACGATTGAGCTCTATTCTAAAGAGCTAATTAAAGGTTATAACTTGCACCTATTTTCAAATATATCTATTAGCATTTATTTACAAAGTTAGACAACTATAAGTAAACACCTCCAAACCCCCGAACCAGTTTAAAGGTGTATTTATTTAAAGGGGCACAGGTGAATGTCCAGCTAATGCCCACCATTTGCAAAGCATACTAAGCAAAAGTAATATTCAAATATTACTGTTTCCAATACAAAATAAACCACGAATGTACCGAGACTCACATTTCTTCATGGTAAGGTAAATACTGCCAGAGGTTCGGCATTTTTGGAAAAGGCGAGTCAGCTCAGTCAGAAACTACAGAAAGAAAGATGTGTACACTGTCAGAGCATCAGAACTAACAAGAGAAAGTTTAACCTTACCCCCACAGCCTGACTGCTCCCCACCGCCCGCTGCACCAGTATTGCTCCACCACAGTGCTCCAATGAATTACACCAACTCCCCCCTCAACCCCATAACCATCTCCATCCCAGCGTTAGTCCCCCTCCACACCTCCTCATTCACCCACCTTTCCACCCTTGTTGCCTTGGCATCACCTCACATCCCCCTGCTCCCTCCCAGGGCTACCCTATTCCCACTCAATCAAATCCCCTACTCATCTCCCACTGCCCAAGTCTTGCCAGTCCCTACAGTGGCACAAGTGCCCCACTCCAACCCTCACAGGCCCAGTATTTCAGACAAACCCACACCCCACACCCCCCCCCCCCCCCCCCCCCCCCCCCATTGCCCCCACACTTTCCAATGTTGCAGTATCACCTTACACACACCCCTCCACTGGCATTTTGCCCTCACTGTTTCCGCAGACTCCAATCTCCATTGAAAAAGTGCTCGTGCACATGCCCCTTGCCCGCATTACCAGACCCTAGACCCTCGACCCTCAGCCCCTCACCGAATCACTCTCCAGAAGCACCATCTCCAACACACGTTCAGCCTCGTCACCGGAAGTCACGCTGCCACCGGAACTGCGTCACCCACCGACGGAGCCAGGCCAGACCAGACCAGACCCGACCCCGGCCCCGGCCCCGGCCCGTGTTTTTCTTGGTGCACGTTTAATGGTTGGTTTCTAGGGCCCGGCCGCGCACCTCTCCATCCCCTGCGGCTTCATGGTAATTTTTGACATCAGTGTGCCAGAGTCAATCCAGCAACTTTCTTTAACTTTTAAAAGTCGGTGCCCTTATCATTAGAGATGGTTTAGACTTAAGAGTGTTTATTATTTGGAATAGTAGAGGGGTAAGGGCTTATAGTGTTTGGTGGAACTGGTTAAAAGTGTTTATAACCAGTTTAAGCTAGGGGTTAGACAATGTTGAAAGTAAATTTTCCAACAACTCTACAACTGTGAATCCACTATTCGCAGATGATACTATACCTGAATTTTGAATTTGAATGATTTATTGTATTTTACACTGTATAATACAATAAAATTCAGTGATATTCCTGACTCTGCTCCAGTGGTAGAATCCACTGGCCAAGGAATCATCAGTAATAGGAGGGATAAAGGAAGAAATAATGTCATCTTATCAGAAGGGCACGGCAATGATCATGAGGGATTTTAATTTACATATAAACTAAAAAGAACGTCAGATGGGAAAACATAACCTAAATGTGTTCATACAATGCTTTTGTGATAGTGTCATGGAACAACATGTTCTGGAGCAAGCCAGAGAACAGGCTATACTAGACTTTTATTGTGTAATCAGATAGAAATAATTGTCAATTTCATGTTAGGTGTGCCCTTAAGTAGCAGTGATCATTGACATAATTGAATTTTAATTTCAATTTGAGGGAATGAGAAGTGTGTTCAATACTAATATTAAATTCTAAATGAGGGCAACTTTAAGGACGTGGAAACACAGCTGGCTAAAATGACTTTGCAAGTTAGGTTAAATATTGGTTCATTAGAGATGCAGTGGCAAATATTTAAGAGGATATTTCAGAATACACACAATAGATTCATTCCAAAGAGTAAGAAAACATCCAAGTGTTGGATTCACCATCAGTGGTTACCTAGAAATGTTAAAGAAAGCAGCAAACTTTAAAGAGAAGACAAATAGTTGGGCAAAGTAAGTACCAGGTCAGAAGGTTGGACAGATATAAAAACAGAAAATGTTGAGCCAGAAATAAATAAGGAGAGAAAAAAGTGAGTGTAAGAGAAAGCTAGCCAGAAATATAGAATCGTAGAAGGAGGCCATTCAGCCCATTGAGTCCACACTGACCTTCCAATGAGCATCCCACCCAAACCCATCCCCTACCCTATCCCTGTCATCTTGCATTTCCCATAAATAATCCACCTAGCCTGCACGTCCCTGGACCCGATGTGCAATTTCCATGGCCAGACCACCTAACCTGCCCACCTTTGGACTGTGGGAGGAAATCAGACAACCTGAGGGAAACCCATGCGCAGTTTTGACAAATACATAAGGATACCGAAGCTGCAATAAATCAGGAAGTGGAAGGCCAGAGAGGAAGTCAGAAAAATGACAATCACTGGTAAAGTGGTACCGAGAAATTGTTGAAGCTGTGGGTTGACGTGTCCAGGACCTCATGGACAATACGTTAGAGTCTTCAAAGAAGTAGCAAGTGAGATAGTTAATGCACTCATTAGGACCTGGAAATTCGATGGACTGAAAATGATCTTCAAGGTAACATTTTAAAAACAAGTGTTGTCTTTAACAGGCATTGTTGGAAGCACTTAACAACACCTATCTGGGTGTGGTGCAGTAAGGGTTGTTAGCAACTACCAGACTTGGCATGAGTCAGCTCCCTCAGGAGAAGAAAAAGGCAAATGAAAGAACAAAAACAAGATTCCCAGTGTGCACATCATGAACTTTAGTAACCTTTCAGTCTAAATTTGCGCAGTAGTTTGCCTTGAGTTGCTTGATCCTATTAAACCATGAAGTAGAATAGGCTGCTCTGGCTTTCATTGCAATGGAGTTAGTAATGTATGAGTCGGTTCCGTAAAGGTATGAGAGTGAGTGGGCAAAGATTTTGCAAATGGAATTGTAATGTGGTCCATTTTGGCAGGAAATGAAGGATGTTGTATAAGTGGTGAGAGATGGCAGAGTTTGTTATGCAGGTACAGCAAATAATTAGAAAAGCTAATTGCATGCTATCCTTTATTCTGACAGCAATTGAATACAAAAGTAGGGAGGTATACAAGGCACTGGTGATAATGCATCTGGAGTACAGTGTACAGTATTGGTCATCTTATTTAAGGAAGGATGTAAGTGCATTAGAAGCAGTTCAGCAAAGGTTTACCAGACTATTACCTGGAATGGGCTTCTGAGGAATATTTGAACAGGATAGACTTGTATCTACAGAAATAGGGTAAGCGGAGATCTGATTGAAACGTGTCAGATCCTAAGGGGTCTTGATGTGGAAAATGCAGAAAGGATGTTTCCTTTGGTGGGAGATTTTAGAAATAGAGGCCGCTGGTTTAAAAATAAGGGGTTCCCCATTTAAGACGCAGCTGAGGAGAATTTTTTTCTTTGGGGATCTTTGGGATTCTCCTCCTCAAAATGTGGTGGAGGCAGAGTTTTTAAATATTTTTCAAGCAGAGGAAGATGAAGCGAGGAAGAGAAGGGTTGTCGGGGGTAGGTAGGAATGTAGGGTACTCAGAAATATCCTGATCTTATTGAATGGTGGAGCAGGCTTGAGAAGCAAAGTGGCCTACTCCTGATCCTAATTGGTATACTGACATGATCATTGTAACTAACACTGTACTGTTCACTGTAAACAGGAAATATTTAAAACATACTTGCTGACATGGAATTCTGACTAAATAGCAAGGATTGCTCTCTTGGAACAAGAGGATTAAGAGGAGATTTGGGGAAGTTCCAAAGCCACTGAGGGGTTTTAACAGAGGAGATTGGGAGAGGCTGTTTCCATCCAGAGAAAGCTTGTTAATAAGAGGGTAACGATGGTTATCATTCCTTCCCTGAGTGTCATTCCTCCTCTAGCTGAAGCCTGGTGAGCAGGGACGCAGTCTCTGAATGAAGAGCAAATCACTTCGGACTGAGATGAGAGGAAGAATTTCTTCACTTAGTGGGTGGTGAATCTTTGGAATTCTCTGGCTCAGAGGACGGTAGAGGCTCAGCCATGATTTTCAAGAGTGAGATTGAAAGATATTAAAAATATTAAGGGACATGGCCTAATGCAGTAAAATGGTGCTGAAGTAGAAGCTCAGCCATGCTCTCATTGGATGACAGAGTGAGCTGGAAGAGCTCAATGTTGTTTTGTTCTTGCATGAAGAGGATATGGATTTAAGGTGATTGACAAAGAAAGCAGGAAAGATGAGAAGAAGATACAGGGGTGCTGTAGCAAATCATCCTTAGATAACATGTTCCAAACCCATGAATTCTTCCACCTTGAAGGACAAGGGCAGCAAATGTATGGGAACATCACAATCTGTGAGTTCCCCTTCAAGCCACACGCCATCCTGACTTGGGAGTATATCACCGTACCTTCCCTGTCGCTGACTCAAAGAACTGAAACTCTGTTTGATCCAAAGACCCGAAATTCTCCACCAGCACGGTGGATGTATCTACACCCCAAGGGCTACAGTGGTTCAAAAAGGTGGCTTACCGTCACCATCTCAGGGGCTATCAGAGATGAACAATAAATGCTAGTCTAGTCAGCAACACCATGAATGGATAAGTAAAAAGTTATGGTCCCAAGTGCACTTATGGGAAAGGTGCTGACAGCAGATTCAACTGCTCCTCAGAATCCCTACAGTGTGGAAGCAGGTCATTCAGCCCATTGAATCTGCACCGACCCTCCAAAGAGCGACCCAACCCGAACCCCCACCCTATCCCTGTAACCCTGCATTTCCCATGGCTAATCCACCTAACTCGCACATTCCTGGACACTATGGGTAATTTAGCATGGCCAATGCACCGAGCCTACACATCCTTTGGACTGTAGGAGGAAACCCACACAGACAGTCGCCTGAGGGCGGAATCAAACCCGGGTCCCTGGCGCTGTGAGTCAGCAAAACTAAGCACTGAGTCACCGTGCCACCCCCCCCCCCACCCAAGGCTCCGTGACTGAATGGAATTTCGATAAATGATGGGGAGAAAGGGCTCTGCGGAAGGAGCAGGTGAACAGTCTGAGGGCCGTGCCAGCATCACACAACAATCTTTAAGAGGCAGCCAACCAATACCTTCTCAAGAGCAATTAGAGAATGGTCATCATTCCTGGTGTGGCCAATGATACTCATCAAATGAGTGAATCAATGAATGAATGGACAGATTTAGGTAGCTCCTTCATAGAGTAGGTGCAGGCATCATGGGCTGAATGGCCTCCTGTGAATTAGTGAGTCTGGATCAACCCATCACAAACTGCATTCTAGACGGAGAGAGTCATAACATTGTTTCCTTGCCCATCTCGTCATTCCATTTAAATCTGTGTTTCTCCCAGTGACGGGGACAAAATAACCTTTAAGCTGATTTTAAATATTTATGGCTCTCATGTTATCAAGATTGTGTCAGGGCAAGACCGTCAACGTCTGCCTGACTCCATCAGCGCTGTAGGAAGAAGGTCAATAACCTCTCCGCTCAGCTAGGATGATCTTCTCTCCCGTGCCTCACCCTCACTCCATCTCTGCTACTGCGCCCAGCAACCATCAAGGCTCCGTGCTCCACCACTCTTGCTATTGCATGCCGTGTCTTCTCTCAGTTGCTGTCACACTCGCCAACGCCCAACTCATTAATCCTGCATCCCCTCTGCACTGCCTCCTTTGCTCCCTCGGGACACCTCATTACCTTTCCCTCACCCGCACCAACAGTAATAGCTCTGCCAGCCACCTCCCTTAATACCTCCCTTTCCCTCACTCCAGGAGAAAGCAGCCCACAACACTGTAGAAAGAGTGACGTTCAGTGAAGGCCTGACATTTGGCTCCTCAGCTCTTTGGAGGGGAAGATCCTGACTGCGTCCCACCCAAGGCAGCCAACTGACTGTGCCTGGACTGGAATCAGAGGTTGTATTGGGACCCTCAAGCTGACGGACTGAGGACTGTTGAC